CCTGAGCGCATTGGTGCCGCGCCGCAGGGGCGAAAGCCTTGTGCGCAGGCGGGTGAAGGGCCTCGGCCGGGCTGCGCGGCAAGGGAGCGTCGCAGGGCGCCGGGGTTACGAACGCTAGCTCTCTGGGTAGCTTTGTGTAAGGCGGTTGCTGTACCACAGCTTAGCTCTTAAGAGCTGTGCTGTAGCAAAGACTCAGAAAGGGCTTTCTTCAGCTGGAGCAGAACTTTAATAAGGTTAGTTGAGCGGTCGTGTTACCATCCCAGGGAGTCTACTTGCAAGCTTTTCTGATATTTTCACATATAATTTAATGACTAGCATGGCGGAGAAGGTGGTTCTGCTATAAGGTGCAGTGTATGTTGGAATACTTCTTGTGATGTGTTTCATGTGATATCTGTGGATGTACCATGTGCTGTCATTTCATTTTTGTTTGTTTTATTTCTAAGGGCCTTGATGCAATTTTCAAGAGCATAAATGCTGTTAAACCTGTGTTCAGGTACTTTCATTCATTCATGAAAGTTGAGTCGGGATTTTTGTATTACTTGCTTCTTTGGAAGTCTTATTGTAGCTTCATGTGGTGTTGTCATGAAGGAGGGCTTCTTAACATAATGTAAAACCTTATTCTTGGATTCCTAGTTCTCTGCGCTTACCAAACCAAATAGTAAGCAGCCAAAATTATCATAGATCTGTGACTGTCATTCAACTGGAAAGAGAAGAGGGTGCAGTTGTTTCCTGGTACCTGTTCCCAGGATTATTTCTGGGCTTTGTTTGGTGATAATATTCTTAAACAGTTACAAGAGCAGGATCCATCACAAGTTACCAGGCACTGGATAGGAAGAACAGGCACATAATTCTCTTTCAAGTTTGCACTATGAAATTGTGGCATTTAAGTTCATCTTTGGTTCTGGTCCTATATGCCTTAATAGTCCACTTTCAGGACTAAAAGTGTGTGCCTTTTTTTTTTTCCCCCCTGTGTGCCTTTTTTTTTCCCTCCTCCAAGACAGTTTATATAAACTATCTAATGTGTCTGGAACGGTTTATTTTCATAGTATCAGTAAGAAATGAAGAAAACTCTTCCTGAAAAAATGCAGAAAATCCAGTGTTTTTTTTTTTTTACAGTTCAAAACTACATTTATGAATTTCAAAAACTGATAAAGGTCTCTGTCCCGTGTAACTGAATCCCTGGCTTGAATTCCACCAGCAAAGAAGGACATTTAGTTGTACTGCGTTAGAGATTAAGGTAACTAGAGATAAGGTGCAGGTAGCAGTTAGTATCTTTTGCATTCTGTAATCCTGATATCCTTATTTCTTGTTGCGTTGATTAGATTGCTTTTGCTACTTCTACCAGAAATGCATCTTCGTTTGGGAATTTTTGCTCAGCTTAAGCGCATAATATTTAAAACTTTTCTTAGATAGTCTTTCTTTTTTACTGTCCTCCAGAGCGTGTGTTCAATTTTGACTTTGACATTTCAGCCTTCCAGAATTGAGGCAATCTATCAATAAGAACGTACCTTTGAGAATTAAGTTAAAATGCCAGGGCACAGTTTGTTCTACACCAAAGAGTAATTCCTGTTTAGTTTTTGTATTTTGTAAAATTTGAAGCCAGCCAACGTAGCTGGGATATTCCTTCAGAAAGACTGTGTGTTAGTCTTCATAAACCTCTCCTAATACGAATTTACTTTGTATACTCTCTTTTCCAGTTAAAAAGCTCGTGCCCATGAGAAAGAGAAGAATACTAGTATCCAAATAAATAAATGTAAGTAAATTATAGGAACGTGTCAGATAATTATTTGAAATGCTTCAAATTACCTTTTTAAAATAACGCTATCAGACGTCAAATAATCAGACTCGAAGGGATCAATATTAGGTTCAAAACTTAAGGATCACTGATAATATACTATTCAGTCTTATTTTAGTCAATTATGTAATTTAAGTATTTTGTCAGTGTCTGTGTTAATACACTAAGCAAACAAAATTAGCAAGTAGTTGTACATGCTTTTCAGGTTTCTTACAGTGTTTGACTGAAGCTGAAATTTGGGAATATTGCAGCTGTCTGACAAACAAAGCACAGATATGTTTTGGTTACCAGCAAGTCCTCCTTCGGTTTTATAGGCAGGCAAAGGCATGTTACAGTGGCAGTTTAAATATATGCTTTGTAAATATAACCAAGGTTGTGATTAGCCTGATTATTTTGTAAAGGAAGGTTTGATAAAGCGCTGAAAAGCTAATGCAAATATTATACACTTTATTATTATTATTATTATGGGAAAGAGGAACCAAATGAGTGTGTTTTTTATTAATAGATTTTATGATTTACTTGACTTAAATCTGTAAATCCAGTCTATTCATGCTCCATGCATAGCCATGTATCAGTAGTATGTTAGGGAATCTCTCCGGGGTTCTAGAGTAGTTTGATCTAAACCTGTATCTCTCTTTGAAAAATACTTACTTTGCTTACTTGAGGGCTTATCTTTTCATTCTGAAGAAGGGAAATGACAGTGATCTCGGAGCACAAATCCTCCTACAATTCCATTTCATATGAAATCTTTAATGGTCACCTGCTAAGTGTATTGAAAAGGCCTATTTAGTCCATAATGAGGAAGAGGCTTTCTACGGCTGTTTTAGTCTCTCTAAACCTGCAACTTACTCTCTTTGAATAAATAGCAGTGTCCACATAACCCTTTGGAAGTCAGCAGGGCTTTACACTGGCACAGAAATCTTCCTGCATGGACTAAAATGCAGGCGTAGTATGACGGAAAATGGTTAAGGTAAATGCTCTTTTTCCAACGTGTCGCTGTTTGCAGCTCAGTAAAAGGCTAATTTACTCTTCCAGCTTGCATTGCATTAGTCACTGTCACACCTGAGTACAGTGTGTATAAAATAAGCATCAGTTTATGAATTAAGATGACATGACTTTCCTCCAGGAAAAAGCTATAAAATAGCTTGGATGGTTACAGTAGTCAATCACATCAGATTGTGGTGCAGCTCTTTGCCACCCTGGCCAAGTTACATCAGTTTTCGTAGGAAATTTACTTTTACCTCAGTTCGCTCTTGTGATTAAGACCTGCACTAGTATCTCCTGTTACCAGAATTTTATCAAATTATTTTATATTCTCTATATGCTTCTCTGTGTACCCTGCTCTTGTGGTATATTTATCGCAAATGGATTCTTTTGTGATGGCTGCAGTTTTACTTACAATGTTGTTTTTCAGACAAATGATGTCCTCCTTCCCCCTTTTTTAAAACTTATTTTCTTCTATGTAAATATGGTAAGCTCACTATAATTGAAACCATAATGGTTTTAAGTCAGTCTTCCCATATCAAGTTAATGCTTGTTTATCCTCAGTTCCAAATTTTTAAACAACACAGTGCTTGAATTTTCACGAAAAACTGTTTTAGAGCCTATGTGCTTCTAAACTCCCCAACAGAGAGCTGCTGAGCTTCAACAATTTCTTAAAATAAAACATCTCTGCCTCTGCAATTGAAATGTATTTTTACTCTAGTGGCAGGCAGGTAGCAACTTCACCGTATTTCTTAGACATCAATCAGACAGCCTGTGAAGGTAGTTCAGGTACTTTTTGAGAAGTTAGAAGAAGAAATTCCCGTGGCAGCAGAAATTGCTGTGCCCCTGTTTTAGAAGGCATATATAATAAAGTGGGAGTTAATCCAGTATAATCCATATTACAGGAACTTCCACTCTTGGAAATTACTAAGAGTTGTAGTAAGAGGTGTATTAACTAAAATTAAGTAAGGGAGAACTTATTTATGTTACATTTTTAAATTATAACTAAAGGGACAAAGATGTTTGTGATGTAGAACAATAATAAACTTGCTGGTTTTAATGTGATTCATAACCAAAACTATATGCTTGCTTAAGCATACATTGTTTAACATTCCATATTTTGTGAATTACTCTATTGTAAACTATGCGGTTGTAGTTTTCCACAATCTCTAAACAGATCAAATCAGGTATGGGGTGGATATAGTTTTTAGTATTCTTGTTCTAGCATTCTAATCCTCAAGATATGTGTAGAAGAATAATACACACTATTTATCACCCTACAGTTCTCCTTCAGTTTGTTGCTGCTGTTTTGAATCTACAAGCTGAAAAATTGGAAGACTTTAGATTTATTTGAACTGTAAATAAAAAGATCTTTTACACTCCTGGAAAATGGCTGATATTCAGAACTGTGATTTGAAATCTTTGAGTCCACTTCAGCTATTTGAAAAAGTAACTGAGCAAGGAGAAAAAGTCAGAGCACTGAAAGCAGGAAAAGCACCAAAGGTATTTCCATTTCATGTGCTGAATTGTTCATTTTTAAGTGCAGGTCTGTCTTTAAGAGCATTGAAACGTATGTTTGTTCTGAGATCTCTTTTGTATTGCAATAAGAAAAAAAACCTTTATTTAAAAATATTTTTCCATTGTGTCTGTTGTGGACGTACCTGGAGCAAGCTAGTCCTTAATAAGAGCGAAGTTGTTACTCCTAAAGTAAGAATAGAGAGTTGTATGCTTAAAAGTCTGCTTCACTAATTGCCATGCTATGTGATGTGATCCAAGGTATTTGGTTTTCAAATGAAGTTTGTATTACATTCTGCCCTGTTTTTAGATTCTCAGTTAAAAATCTCTTTCTACATGCATTATCATACACATTGGCAAATATGTCGTCTTGTAACTGTACTGACTACCCCTGCTTGGTCTCCCCTAAGTAATTTAGTAATTTGCCATTAATTCCATTAATTTCAAGTTCCCTATTCTATCATCAGTATGTTGGCAAAGACAGCCCAGTTTTAATATGGGTTAATATGACTGTGGAATGCCTGTGGGAATGAGCTTTTAAAACTGGTAGTCAAATAAAACTTTGATATATTTATTGCTTGTGTGAAATGTTACAATAGCCCTTTATGAGAAAGGTCACAACAATGAAAGTTGTAAAGAACTTCTTGTTCTTGTTCTTTCTTCAAGTCTGTTTGAAGAAATGAATAAATCATTTTAAGGTCAGCTGCTGCAAGAACATTTTTAATAAAGTCAATTAGATAACAATTTATTTTATATCTAAATACGGTAGAAATTCATACTTAATGTTAAGTTTGTTATACCTCTGAAAATAAGGCAAGCATTTTTTTTCCTCTCAGGCACAAATGGAAAAAGGAGACAGAGAGATTTTAAATACCTTGCCAATGGTGATGCTCTAAATTCTAATGCTTAGGAAACTGTTTTTCTTCTACATTGGGCATTGATACTGCAAATATGTACATAAAGGCTTAACTTAGAGCTTATGAATAAGTCAAAGCATGGATGCAGGGTTTTGGAAGACTGAGACATTAATGAAATTGTCTATCTATCCTAAATATATTAAGTAAAACAAATGTTTTCTTCCTTTATTCAGGATGAAGTTGATGCAGCAGTGAGGATGCTGTTATCATTAAAACTGTCTTATAAAACAACAACAGGTCAAGATTACCAGGCAGGCTTGCCTCCAAGAGATCTTGTATCAATAAACAATGGTACAGCTAAAGAAGAGGATGAGGACTTTGTGGACCCCTGGACGGTGCAGACATCAAATGCTAAAGGCGTGGATTATGACAAACTCATAGGTATAACTCTTTCTTCACTGCTACTAAGGGATTTATATAAAGTGATTCTGATGACCACAAAAATAGCAGCTGATCATACAAATTCAAAACTATAGGCATGGTACAGGTACCTTTTAATTTATGTCTAATCTTAGTATTCAGTATCTAAAGAATTTATTCTAGGAGTTGAAAATGCCCCAGGCAGGGGCTTCCTATGGAAGACTTAAATACATTGCAAAGAAGTTTTCAGCTTAAAATAAAAGTTTCATTTACAGTTCATTTTTTAGCATAAGGATTGTTATTAAAAGTTATGTTAGTGAAGAAACTATGACTGAATCTGACTTGACCTGCACATTAGGTAAGGCAGGGTCAGTCCAAAATTAATATAGAAATCTGTAAGTGCAGTCACTCCTTCACAAAGCACTATCAAGCAGCCAAGTGCAGTTTGGAGTGGAAAAGATGTAGCTCCCGCAGAAAACATTCATCTAATGGAAAATGTTTTTGATGAGGATGTTACAAAACTTGCAAAGTTTGGAAACTTAAGAAACAGGAGTTTCCTTAGTTTTCTTGTTTGGTTTATAGCTATCTATTTTGATAGGTCGTTTGGGTCCATAGCGTAGAAACAGATGAGAGAACGGTTCATTAATTTATACTATTTTTGTTCTTTTTTTAAGACAGTTGTCAATCTCCAAACCGTGTTTAGTACCTCAATGAAAATTCTTTAACACTATTAAATTACTGGTGTCTACTTAGTAGCTTGGCTCTCACGATAGACCTTGTGTGGCAATAATCTCATATTTGAGAGCTGAATTGCTCAGCATTTGGGAGCTGAATTGCTAGTGCCAACCTCTTTGCTTGCTTGCTTCTTTGTTTTTTGACTGACTGTGATACTCTTGTAAGATCACATCAAATGAGCGTGTGCATTGGTTTAGTCTGCAGAAGGCTATGGGAAAAGGAAAAAGAAGTGTACAAAGAAAGACGTACCTTCACGGGGGAGAGGGAAGAAAGGAATTCTTAGAATCTAGAGATGGACAAGATCTCTCATCATCTTGTTACTTACGAAGGAGGCTTGGGGAAGGCTCTTGGTTTTCTTAGGGGGTTTTCTAATGCTTGTAGAAAAGTGGGAAGAGTGGAATACTTTAGCACAATCTCAAGGTCTTTTTGAGAATGATTGCTATTATTTTACTGTAAATAAGTTGGGTAAAACCATTATCCTTTTTTCCAGTAACACGTGGTGTATGGGTGTGTATATACTGCCTTTTGACCTACCCTTCAGTGGTAGATTAGACTGGAGGGGTTTTTCGTACTTATTACTGATAGCAAATTGGTGAATTTGGCAGATGAGTCATTTACCTTGTTCTAAGTGATGCGTTGGAAATTTTTCAAAGAATGCTAGCTACTCCAGGAAGTGAAGCAGTTACTATTTGCTCTTGATAAACTTCCTGCTCTTAAGAAGAAAAAAAAAAAAGTCCAAGAGTTTGACGTCTGACAGCTCTTACAGTAAAGGAAACCACCAATCCATATATTTATTGGCAGTACCAGAGAAAGATGCCATTGTGTTTGTGTATATGCAAACTTAAAACAATGAAAGGGCTAAAAGCAAGGGTTTAAATTGAAAGGGACATTCCTCGCAAATGATTGTCCTGGGTGTACGCTTATTTACCCACCAAAACAGCCTGCAAATATTGTAGGATCAAAGGTTATGTCAGCAAAGTACTAGAGATGAGCATCCCTAGAGAATGTAGGCTTTTGGATTTGAGGATGAGTGGAGAAAAGATGGATGAATGAGAAAGAGCTCTCTATGTTAGAGTGCTGATATTTATCAGTGAGTTGGATGTTGCAAGTGACATAGAATCACAGAATGATTGAGGTTGGAAGGGACCTCTGGAGATCATCTAGCCCGACCCCCCTGCTCAAAGCAAAGTCATCTCAGGACGCAGTTGGGTTTTGAATATCTCCAAGGATAGAGACTCCACAACCTCTCTGGGCAACCTGTTCCAGTGTTCAGCAATTCTGACAATACAGAGGTTCTTTCTTATGTTTAAATAGAATTTCCTAGATTTCAATTTGTGCTCGTTGCCTTTTGTCCTTTTACAGGCCTTGACTGAGAATAGTCTGGCTCCGTCCTATTTACGCCCCTCCCCCCGCCATCCGATACTTATACGCATTGATAGCATCACCTCTGAGCCTTTTCTTCTCCAGGCTAAACAATCCTAGGTCTCGCGGCTTCTCCTCATATTACACGTGCTCCAGTCCTTTAATCAGCTCTGTGGCCCTCTGCCCTTTGCTGGACTCAATTCATTATGTCCATGTCCTTCTTGTACTCGGGAGCCCAGAACTGGTCCCACCGCTCCAGATGTGGTTTCACCAGTGCTGAGTAGAAGGGAACGATCATCTCTCTTGACCTGCTGGCAACGCTTTTCCTGATGCAGCCCAAGAGGCCGTTGGCCTTATTTGCCACAACGGCAAATTTCTGGGTCATGTTCAACTCCTTGTCCACCAGGATCAGCAGGTCCTTCTCTGCAGAGCTTCTTTTGCAGCCCGTTGTCACCAGCGGTTATTCCTGCCCAGGTGTAGGACTTGACATTTCCTTTCGTTGAACTTCATGAGATTCCTGTCTGCCTATTTCTCCAGCCAGTTGAGATACCTTTGAATGTCAGCACAGCCATCTGGTGTACCAGCCACTACTCCCAGTCTTGTATCATCTGCAAATTTGCTTAGGGGGTACTCTGTCTCATTGTCCAGGGCATTAATGAAGATATTAAATAGTATTCACCCCAATGTCTATTTCTGAGGTATACCACTAGTGACTGGCCTCCAACTGGACTTTGTGCTGCTGATCGCAACCCTTTGAGCCCAGCAATTGAGCAAGCTCTTAGTCCACCTCACTGTCCGTTTATCTAGTTCGTACCTCAACAGTTTGTCTGTGAGGCTGTTACAAGAGACAGTATGAAAGCCTTACCAAAGTTGAGCTAAACAACATCCACTGCATTCCCCTTATGCACTGAGCTAGTCACCTAATCGTAGATGACTGTTAGGTTGGTCAGGCGTGACTTCCCTTTCATAAATCCGTGCTAACTAATCCCAGTCACTTTCTTGTCTTTAATATGTTTGGAAATGGTTTCCAGGATTATTTTCTCAATCACCTTCCCAGGGATCGTGGTGAAGCTGACCAACCTGTAGTTCCCCGGATACTCCTTCTTGCCCTTCCTGAAGATCAGAATGCCATTTGCTTTCTCCCAGTCCTCAGGAACCTCCCCTGGTCTCCATGACCTTTCAAAGGTTGTCCAGAGTGATGTGGTCAGTAAAGTTACTGTGTAACTAAAACTACTGATTGTTAGTTTTCTGTATTCAAATATAACATGGCAGTGGCAAGAGAAGAAAAGTGCACAATAAATTTTCAGCAATGCAATATGATTTTGGAAACAGCAGGGCAAGCTGATCAGCTTTCAAGACTTCTTATCTTACGGACAGCAAACTATAAGCTATCTTTTTGTGAAAGCTAGAAAACTATAGATTAAAAGCACACTAAATAATTTTTTAAAAGCTTTTTAGGGAGAATGTGTGTCCTTATTTGCAGCTGTCTAGGAAGGTAGAGTCTTTCTGGATAGAGAGTCTGCAAAGTGTTGAATTTTCCCAGTTTATTATATTTCAAGTGTAATAGAGCCAGTATCTATAAAAGGGAATAGTTCAAATCTATAAAAAGGATTTCTTATATTGTTAACTGTCTGTATCTTCACTTGAACTGCACTTGAAATTGTTAGAATTAATATTAACACACTGTAAATATGTATAGTACAGCTAGCTTATATTGCACATTTTACAAAGCAGCATTATCTTTTGAAATAAAACTGTGAAAGCTTTAGCTGTTAGTACTGAAAAAGGAATAACAGACCCTTTCAGGAGGAAGTGGGCATAAGAGGAATTAGATAGGGAAAAATTATTTAGTTTTAACAGGAAAAAAGGGGATGGAGAAAGAAGGCAGTCTGTGACTGTTTAATAAAGTTATTCAGGCATTTCCAGCAAAAAGTTCTGTATGACGGAGAGCTTTTAGCCACTTCCTATGGCATTATACAAATGTTTCCAGGGTGACTAGCCCCAATTAGTCCGGGGCATTTTCATGGTTTCTGTTTCTGTAAGATTAGCCTCTTACCAGTTGTTATTGTTCTGCTGAATCAAACATTTTCGTGTTTATTTGGTCTCTGTTAGTATTCATCCAGATTATAATTACTTTGCCATTGTATCTGCTAGGAAAAAATTAATTTGGTAATTAAGGTCTGCTCAGGACAAGCAGATGTAATAACTCTCCCAAAACATATGGGTTAAATTGGTGTCTGCTGAATCATGAACCAGTATTTTTCTTTTGTAGTGGCATTTGTTTTAATCAGTCAGTGGATGGGCTCAGTGCTTCCTTTGTATGGTTTCCTGCTTGGTTCACCTAGAGTGGATGAACAATTGCAAACAAGAACTTGTGTCTGTTGGATAATGGTGAATGATAGACCTGTTTTCCCCTCCCATTTAATAATGAATTTGTACTAAATTCAAGTTTACTGCCTTTATACAAAGTCTTGTGGTAATGCAAGGGCATAGCCAGTAATTCTAGAAGAAAATTAAATAGGTGTGGAGCATCTGGAACAGCAGAAACACCTCCAAACTGATGATCAGATTGGATACGTTTCCATTCCTCTCTCATGTCAAGATTGAGTCTTTTCTTTAGTGGGGGTTCCTAATTTTTGTTTGTGAAAGGCTGCTCAGTGAATAGTCCGTGTAGCAGAGTACACCATCGCGCTTAAACACGCATCTCTCTCTTCAGCCAGAGGATAGGAGAGGAACTCCCTATCCTCAGGGCTTCTCGGCATCCTAGAGCTGTAGGGAACATGTTGGGCTGAGTCTTCTGTCCCATCCCTCATAAAACCCATGTGGATACTGCAGTCTCAATGATTAGAATGGGCATGGTTTTAAATAATCCTTTCTAAGATGTATATGAAGCCTTGATGGACCAGAAATATCCTCCTTGCTGCACTTTGAGAACCTGTGCTCTAAAGGGCTGGAAAGTTTTTTTTTTGTTCCCATTTTTAATGGGAAAGAGATTAGTCTGGTCTGGCTGACACCCAGGGTGTCTAAATATTCGGCTTTTCAAATTATCTCGGTGTGCTCAATATTCCTTGCTGCCGCTGTAGCTGGTTATTTTGCTTTGTAAAATGAGTTGTGTTCCCAAGGCAGCGCATTGGGTAAACAGCACAGGTAACAGCTCTGCCTCCAGCTGGAGTCAGTCTAGCTCTGTTATACAGTGATGCTAGCATCTAACATAAGGAAATCTAAACCTACCTGCTCTAATAGGAAGTTATAGCCTTTGGAAGGACACTTTTGGTTGGTTACCATGTCCCTGTAGG